AACAATACCTATTTTCACTGACTAATCCTCAGTCAACACTATAACTAGTTAAATTTAATAGTTTCAGGATATCGTCATAAAGCATTGTCATAAATTGACAATCACGTAATATGATTGATAATATTAATGCAACTAATAACATAACCGGTCATCAAATCGACTTATAATCACTAGTGTTGTTTTTCTTTTATCTTCATTAACTACAGATGATTACAGTATGTTTCTCTATCGGTTGCTCATTCAGTAAATATCTCGAAACCTTGTCAGTCTAATTGATGGTTTAGCGACACAATCATGCATGCAAATAATCAGTATGTGGTGGTCGGTTTCGATATAATCCTCAAACTTCGTATACAGCTCGTCTTGATAACCGTTCCATATAACGTCCCAACGGTATATTAATCAGAAGGCAAATACGAAGTGTTGATTACGTTTATTGCGAGACCACACACATATATCCAAATGTACAGATACGTTAAACAAGCATAGAAGAGTTGTGCCGAAAGGCAAGCAAGCGAGCGAGAGCAAGAGCGAGATGAGAGTGCGTGTGTGTTGAATATGAATAACATGGACATATATATACCATGTGAAATGAATGAGTAATTGAATCAAATACTCAGTTAGTAGTAAGACTCGCAGAGTGAATAAATGCGTAGGTTGTAAGCAATATTCAAGCACACGTATTTCATACAAGCACAAAATAATAAGGGTACAATAAGTTGTTATAGTGTGGATGACTTTGTCCGCTAAATGAGTTGGCAAAAGGGCTTAACTGAGTTAAATGAGAATAAACTCAATTGCACGTGAGTCACTATAAGTATAAGCAGTCGAGCAAACCTGCAAACTGAAAACATCAATGTCGAATTTACCCCAACACTGACTACGGTTCAAGCCATTATCATAGACGTGAGTTGGGAGTGTACTCACCTTGGTTACAACTTATGCTCTCCCTGATAATCACATGAGCATCACTCACTGTTAGCCATCTTGTAAAAGCTTATTTAGCCGAATACATCCTGCAGCACCACATCACTTAGTAATATGACACATAGGCTTGAATGATTTCAATAACTTATAATCACTATATCTCAATTAACTCGTATTTCGCCTTATGATAAACTGCATACTTGCAACTAGTATGCACCATCAACCGGTAGGTATAAATATAAATAAATATTCTATGGCAGATCGGAACATTGAGTCTAAACCATGTCTCATACGAATACACTCATGTTTAACGAATCGTTCTTAGCTATCTGTCCGAAATTCACATAATTACCACTCACGTATTCAAATTTTGTTTTGATAACCATTCATGTGCATTAGTAGTGCCACTAAATTCTATCACGGTCAAGTAAAAATGAGGTTGAGAAAATCTCCCCGTAACTAAATAAACCGTATCAAACTAGCTGGAACACTAGTTGGAATTCTTTTCCGTGATAATACTTTTATTCTTTCAGTTAGCCTACTAATACAGATGCAATTAGAAATCACATATGAACAGGTTACCGGCATAATTGTAAATTGATTTCATAATTTAAACCAAAACTAATACCAATATTAACATTTCTACAATATTCATTACTTTAATATTTCTAAACACAAAATACTTCTCACTTATACGTTAAGTTATTGACCAACGGCTATTAACACGCATTGTCATATTATTATTATTATCATTGTAATCCCGTTTTTTTATAGCTCAAATAATCGTTACCCAAATTTTCATTTTAAGCGTGTTAAGCATGAAGGCAGATATTTTAAAATTATCACATGTATTTTCCGATCAGATGCTGCCGCCTTCCTTTTGATTTATCTTTCGACTTATCATTACCCGGGGGATGCTTACTGGTCTTGATAACCTTCGGCGCACGACAATCCCATCCAATTCGGTATCGAACCAACATCACGTTGGTTCTGGTGGGAGTAGTGTAGTGGCACTGGACAATAACCACACAATCCACAAAGCTGAACACGAGACTACTCAGAAAATAGATATTCAATATTTAACGCGGAAAAATACCTAACGATGGGGAAGGCGGGAAGAATGAATTAAATGAATGGGAGTTGATCGAATGGCCTTAACTCGGCCATGCAGGCGTGGTCCTTCTGAATGTTACCTTATATCTTCTATTCGTATTAAATATATTGTTCCTTCTCTAGCCTAACCTTGTTCTACATCATGTATTGATAATTGATACGATACAGTGAGTTGGTGTAGTTGATGGTGTGACTTCCACGTAAGATCTTATAGATCAGGCAGTTATATCATGACAAATCTCCAATTTTAGTATTAGGTCTATTATTAGAGCAGTACTAATATCATAGTAGACCATAATTCTACAAGTTAATCAACTGTTTTGATCGTAAATTACTCATCAAAATTACTGTTTACACTTTAATTGCATCTACCCTAGTTAGAGTGATATTGTATTGAGTGTTTCGATTTCGCTTTTGTGTATTTATTGCATCGAAGCATACTTGGTCGACTTTAACTTGGTTTATTTAGTTGAGGTTTGAGAATCCTTTTACACATCCTGTTTTTGTCACCGTTCTAGTTGATTTTCAAGATGGCTAGATCTGGCCATAAATGTGTATAACCATATTGCTTATTTCCCGTGGAGGAAGGGATGCAATGTGATGAGTGCAATAAATGGTTCCATAGGATGTGCACCCGATTAAACCCCACTGCATATAAAAGATGCTCAAAGCCCAACTCTTATTGGCTTTGTAGTTTTTGTTGTTCGAGCAAAACATTACTCACACAGGAATCAGTTAGCCTCCTGATGTTGGCTAATAAGAAGGTTGATGAGGGCTCTACTGGCAACATTGGTACTGATGGCGAAGATTGCGTTAGTGTCTTAAGTGCTGTCACAGCGCAAGCCAGACATCTACCTGTGCGACCCGCACTTAAACGTTTTCCCCCGAAACGATTAGTGAGTGACACCTCATTAGACGGTGGCCATATTGCTACAGCTGCGACTGGTGATCCAGATAAGACAACTACTGTCCCGAGTTGTTCTAATGTAGATGTTTCGACTGATGGAAAATGGATGACGCGAAAACGCAGAAGAGTAGGAAAGACAGTTAAAACTAATGACTGTTTAGTTGATAAGTCTTTGGTGGACTCTCAGACCAATCCGCCAAAGTCCCATAATAAAGCTTCGTCTAACATTGTTGTGAGTCACTCGCTCGACTCCCAGGACTCTCTTACAGTAAAAATTAATCGTAAGATACCAGTAGTTAAAATACAGGATCTAACGTCACGGTCGAAAACTGTGAACACAGTTTCAAAAAAAGCTAAACCTCTCCCTAGTTTAATTATTTGGAATCTAGAGGAGTCGAAAGACAACGGCCCTGCTAGAAGACATGCACATGACCTGCAGTTACTGGAGTCTGTGGTAAGAAATGTACTACATGAAGAGGTTTCAGGGGTAAATATTACAAAAGTAATACGACTTGGTAAATGGGTTGGAGGCGGGACTCAACCAAGAAGAATCCTGAAGCTGGTTCACGGGGGGTTTTGAAGAAAGACATATTATTGAAAAACGCACTAAAAACTCGTGACTCAAATATCCGTATTCGACCAGATTGGCCGCTTGAGGATCGAATCAAGTGGAAGAATGCTCTTACGGATTTGAGGACTCGCAAAATAAATGGCGAAAATAACCT